GGTACTTTGCATCTCCATCCATTACATATATCTTAACTTTATACATGTGAATATATATATATATATATATATATATATATATATATATATATATATATATATATATATATATATATATATATATATATATATATATATATATATATATATATATATATATATATATATATATATATATATATATATATATATATATATATATATATATATATATATATATATATATATATATATATATATATATATATATATATATATATATATATATATGGCCGCATTATGTTACACTTATGATATAATAAACATGTTGAACTGAACTACAACATTATTAAGTTAACCTTGGTATAGGATTATCAACATCTTCACCACAACCACATTTATACGAATTTGCAGAAGCAGGAGATTTCAAATAGCACTTGGTGCAACCATAATAGAACCAATCGTATTTTGAAACAACAAATTTCAATGTTGTTGCCACAGTAACACAAATAGTCTCCTAAAAATTTATAATATCATAGCTGAATTAGTATACATAATCTTGCATTCTCATGATGTAATAAAATTTAAAAGGTATACCTGCTTTAACTTGCAGAAGTCATTTAGTGGCATGCATTTGACATTATAAACAAAAATTGTGTTCCATCAGACCAGATAGATAACGTCTGTGTGGATTGAGTAGGTCTCTCATTCTTCTGCGTATCAGGTAAATTAAAAATGAATAACACAAACAATCATCACTAAAACAAAATGAAATCATACAATAGACTTATAAGATGACAGATAAGTTTCAAGATAATATACTTTGACAGAAAATCCTGGATAACATGATTGTTTTCATTGATCAACAATTTCGATCCACTCCATCTATTGGAAACTGAAGCTCATAGTCATAAACATTGTCATTAATAATAACAAAGTAAATGTAGACACAATAATATTGTAATATATTAGAATAATTTCTTGTTCAATCCAATATATGACCTTAGCAATCCTTGATCATTGCATGAGTCAAAACAATGACAATTGCTCCACAGTTTGATTAGTCATTATAGTAACTTAAAAACTTAGTTCCATATATGTCCCATAAACTGAACTTTATAATATTTCCTCTACATAACATTTTGAAGTAAGTATAAAAATATTCAAGATATGCGATAAATGGATTATAAGAATAATATAACAAACTAACCCTAAATCCCTAAGTCTGAAAGAAACCACAATCTTCTTCCCGCCTGATTTTGATTAATAGTTGTTAACCTCATGGACAACACCTATAATATCTGATAATACAATTTGATTATAAAAATCGTTCGAAGAAGATATTCAAATAAAAATATATATACTACTTTAATATCATGTTAACCAAAATACCTTCAAGACTGTTAACTTCACAATCTCCTTTAAGGATATCAGAAAAATCTTTGAAGAAGAACTTATTAGGAGGAATATTGGCAAGCTTAGTTGGTTTAAAAGTTGTACCACTTAAGAAAACAAACTCTTCAGGTGATCACAGACCTTCCATTGAAAATCATTGTCGTAAACATTACCATTATTTATTATGCAAGTCATGTCTTCCTTTAACAACTTTCCACTTTGCTGTATGGTCATTTCGAACCAAGACTTGAATTCGATAACCCTGGAATTGAAACAACGAAATACATTATGTTAAAGGAATATCCCAAAATTAATAACACCAAATAGTAATAATATACTAAAATACATCAGACCTTGGCATCTATTACAACCATCTCAAGATGTTTTATACCTTTGTATTAATGACGCTCCATATATCAAGAATATGAACAACAAGACGCCATGTTTCTTTAGAATCATTGATATCGCCCACGAAATCAAATTCTTCTATGTCGCCTCCTGGTTTTTTACGAAGAAAAAAATTAATAAGACGTTAGGGCATGCAGACATTGCAATAGTGAAATAAAGAAGAACCCTAAAAAAGTCGTTAACGAAGAAGAACAAAAAAAAATTAACTTTTGCAATAAATGGAGTATCTGTTTTGAATCTATTAAAGGATGGAATTGAGACATTATGAAGGCAAAATACTATAGGGTTTATATTGAAATTTGTTAGAATACTAAAAATATTTCTTTTGAAATTGAGAGAAAAATTCAAAAGTCATGATAATGGTCCCTCTATCAATGATACGTAGGAAAACATGAGAATGGAATAAGAAAAAAATCTGGAAGAGAAAAAAATTAGAATTATGAAGTGCAATAGTTGTATCTTTTGTTATATCAATGAAAACAAGTTATTGCCAATTAGGTCCATGAAAAATGACCATTAGCTCCATGAAAAATTGATTAAGAACTAATTTTAAATTTTAATAATGTAATTTCTTATATTGATAATAGATACCATATTGCGGTTACGGTAAAGTTACCTAAACAAAGGTGTTCCAGCTTATATGTAACATTCTCTTGAAGCAAATCATATGTTGCAGTTAGTTTACTAAATCTTATATAATTGAATAATCAATTATATGTTATTATTCGTAACCATTACAGTTTTGCAATTAGTATCAAACATTGCCAAAAGCAAAATCATACTTTTATTTTCATAAAATTAAGAACAAAAATGAAATTTAACCAAATTAAATTATATGATTAAACACATTTAGATTTTGTTTAAATGAGTTTTAATTTTTTATTTTAAAATTATTTTGAAAATCAATATTAAAAATAAAAATTGAAGAAAAAACTGAAAAAGAACATATTTGGTAATGTTATTTTTAAAAATTGTTTTAAAAATGCACAATATTATAAATTTACCATCAATGAAAACTTTATCATTTTTCTTTCTTTTTTCCTCTTTCTAATTTTCAAAATTAAAACCAAAACCCAAAACATCTAAAATCTATCTTAATTTTTAATTTTAAAATTATTAAATAAAAAGTAGTTTTCAAAAAAAAAAATTATCAGGACCAGAGAAATTTATTAATTTAGAGAATTAATTTAAAGAGTTTTTAAGTAATTATACTGTACATACCAAACAAAAAGACAAATTAGTCTATGCCTCTTAGAATTACGTTGCAGCGAACTTTGGTACTCAACGTAAATTAGTAACTATTGTCACTACAAAAAAAACTGAATCCTGCCACGTGAAATTCACTTCACAACAAGGAAAATCACTTCACAAATTCACTTCACAATAAGGAAAATCACTTCACAAACTGATAATAGCGACGCGACTATTCACGTGGCAGAAAAACGTGTGACAACTTTGCCACGTGATTTTCACGTCACAACAAATAAAATAATATTTCAGTCGCAGCAGGCGTAGCAGGTGTGTAAGAAAGTTGTGACGTGATTTTCACTTCACAACTTGCGAAGTGATTTTACTTCACAACTTGCGACGTGAATATCACGTGGCTAAGAGTTTTTTTAAATTAATTAATTTTTTGGTAGGTTTAAAATTAATTTATATTTAAAATTATAATTATAGTTTGTCCACTCAATTAATAAATACAATTTATTTTTAATAATAATTTAAATTGGAAAATTAATAAATATAAATAAGAAAAATTAATAAATATTAATAAATATCAAAATTAAGAATAATAAATTTAATATTCTGTTTTTATATTTTATTAATATTCTGTTTTTAATATTTTATAACCAAAAAATAAATAAAACATTAAAAATAATATATTTCTGTTTTAAATATTTTATTTCTAAATATATTATTGTATTTCTAATAACAAAAAATAATAATAATAATAATAATATAAATATAATATTATTTCTATAAAAGATTAAAAATAAGATATTTAGTTTTTAATATTCAGTTTTTAAAGTAATAAAACATAAATGAATTTAATAACACATAAAAATTTAAAATATTGTTAATATTCAGTTTTTAATATTGTTACTATATATAAAAATTTGGTTTTAGTACACATAAATATTAAAATAATAAAACAATTAAAATAAATTTAATATTCTGTTTTTATATTTTATAATATTCTGTTTTTAATATTTTATAACCAAAAAATAAATAAAACATTAAAAATAATATATTTCTGTTTTTAATATTTTATTTCTAAATATATTATTCTATTTCTAATAACACAAATCTGATTTTAATATTTTATTTCTAAATATATTATTCTATTTCTAATAACACAAATCTGTTTTTAATAACAAATAATAATAATAATAATAATATAAATATAATATTATTTCTATAAAAGATTAAAAATAAGATATTTAGTTTTTAATATTCTGTTTTTAAAGTAATAAAACATAAATGAATTTAATAACACATACAAATTAAAAATATTGTTAATATTCAGTTTTTAATATTGTTACTATATATAAAAATTTCTTTCCTTTTCTCACTCCTCTCATTTATAAACAAAAATTCGTCTTATTGGTAATAATATTTCTACAAAATTCGTTTTTAATATTCAGTTTTCTATAAATATTCAGTTTTTAATATTGTTACTATATATAAAAATTTCTTTCCTTTTCTCACTCCTCTCATTTATAAACAAAATTCGTTTTATTGTTAATAATATTTCTACAAAATTCGTTTTTAATATTGTTACTGTATTCACGTGGCAAACCAAATTTTAAAAAATTTTCCCCTTCCCGCTTCAATAGATTTGTCGTTTTAGTTATTATTTTTTTTAATTTACATGTTGCGACGTGATTTTCACGTCACTAAATTTTTTTTTAATTTTTAAATCTGACAGGCCATGTGCTATATTTGTTTCATATTATTTTAATATTAAACAGGTTAGTGACGTGAAAATCACTTCACAACTGTCAATATTTTGCCACGTGATTTTCACTTCACTAAATCACGTGGTTGGACATAACTTTTCTTGTAGTATGTGTTCATATGCATTGGAAATCAATAATGACTTTTAAAGTACAGTAAATGTAAACAAGAGGAACAAATGTGTTTGATGTATTCTTAAGCAAGTTTGCCATATATAAATTACATGAATGTGTTAGAGTATTCAAACCATATCTCACAAAATGGATTCTCATCTAAAAGGTGTTGCAAAATCAACTATGTCAGATCAAATACGTAAGGAGTTGTGTGATTACAAGAGAGATAATCCTGCAAGCACACATAAAGACTTGCAGAGATGGCTTGAGGGAAAATTTCAGTTAAAAGTTAGTCAAGGAACAATATCAAACACACTTAAACGGTCAGATGACTATCTCTCTGCTGAAATAGAAAAGGAAAGAGTAGAGATCAAAAGACACAAACCAGCAAAATATCCTAACATGGAGAAGGTTTGTTAA